AACCATTGATTTATTTTTGTTTTGATGATGCAGTGCAAACATTTTATGCTGAGAAAATAGACACATCTAAATAAATGCTTCCATTTGACTGATAACTGATTCAATTTAAATGCCATTTGCACCAGTAAAAGTCTTGTCTTGAATGTATCCTTATGAATCACTTAAAAGAGGACAAAGCAACTGAAAAAAAATAGAAATAAGTTGCAGTAAATGGGATTGGTCCCCATTTATAACAACCCTACCTGTTTTGTTAATGAATTTATTGCAAAGGTACATTTGGTCCTATATGTCAGACATGAATGTGAAATCTTCTGGATCAGTGTGATTAAGGAGTTCTACATGATAGGATTCCATATTTATCACTTTCTTCAAGAGAGGCTAGAATACTTGATTTGTTGAATAAGGTCATTACTATTTACAGAAACAAGATTAGACACCATTGTTGTTTCTTCCTTTTATCTTCTTTCCTTAGTTTATGCTTGGAAGAATCAGCAGAGTATTCATTTAAAACAGTGTTTTTCAAGCTGGGGAATTCTGGGAGTGAAAGTCCATACATCTTAAAGTTGCCGAGTCTGAAAGACACTGATTTAGAGAAATCTTACCTAAATCCAAGATGTTTAGGAAAGAAAAATATTTTACAGTGTATTTTTCTTCTGATACTTTACATCGGGATATTTCCATTATGGATTGTTTCCAGACTACCCTCTGTCTTGCTACTCTGGTTCCTCCAATAATCTTTAGAAATTTGTGATCTTGTCTTTACAATTCTCTGCTTCCTTGACTTTGCACCTTTCTATCTCTTTCCTTTCTTTCTCATCCTCTGTGGCCATTTTCTCTTTAGGCTCAGTGGTATATATCCCAGATTCTTTAAGGATTTTTAGCATTAGCTATTGATGATCTACTGTATATCTCCCAGCACCCATAAGGGTTATGGGGAGTGGCGAGGGATGCTGTGAGTTATAATGCAACAACACTTGAAATACTACAAATTGCCTACTCCTCTCTAGAAATGAAGTTCTGTTTCCTAGTCCCAACCACTTTACTCCATATTATCTTGCTTTCTGGTTTCTTTTAACTTTAAGAGTTCTTTTACTTTCTTTATGTCAGGGCTCTCCAAACTTGGCAACTTTAAGACTTATGGCCTTTGACTCGCAGAATTCCCTAGTCAGTATGACTGGCTGAGGAATTCTGGGAGTTGAAGTCCACAACTCTTAACATTGTCAAGCTTGGAAACCTCTGCTTTATGGATCCATTGTCCTATGATAACAATTATGCATCAGTTGTTGTTTGGGTAGCAGTTCTCTATTTTGTATAGATATTTGTGTTAATCTACTCACGCATTATGGAGAGTATGCAACTAACTGGATCCCTGCGTGCAAAGAGGTCTTATTACATTCAAAAGAATATGAATAGAATCCCATGCAGACCTCCCCCATATGGAAAGATCTGGGAATAAAGGAGTTGTGGACTTCACAGCCAACACATCATGACACCATGGGTATTTTCCAATTGCTTAAACTAGACTATTAAGAAATTTGAGCACCAAATTTCTATTAATGGCATGAATTATTTTGTGTACTTTTTCTCATTTAATCTGAAACCTGGTCATTACTTTTAATGCTCTATACCAGGGGTATTCAAACTTGGTCCTTTTATGACTTGTGGACTTCAACTCCCAGAATTCCTCAGCCAGGCATACTGATTGAGGAATTCTGGGAGTTGAAGTCCACAAATCATAAAAGGGCCAAGTTTGAAGACCCCTACTCTATACAGCACCAGAATACAGTACAGCACCAAAATACATCAGGCAATGCCTTGCCAGAATTGAATCTGCTTGTCTAGTCATCTAACAAAAGTCTGCTGGGTGTCCCCTCTTGTGTGGTTCATGGGAAGTAGATGAGGCAAGAAAGCTTCTCAATAATGGCTTCCATTACATGGATTGTCCTTCACAGGGTTAAAGCAAAAATTATTCCAGTATGATTTCAGCCTCTGCTTGATTTGGTCACCTATGATTATAGTTTTTTAATTCTTTTCTACTGACTTTTGTATTTTCAATTTGCTTTGTTGTTCTAGCCCAAAGATGTGGAAAGCAATGTTTGTTTGTATGTGTGTGCATCTCTCTCTCTGTGTGTGTGTTCAGAATCCCAGATAAGGCCTTGCCCAGTTCTAAGAGAATGCCATTCAACCTTTTCTTCAATCCAAGGATTGCATTTGCTGCTAGATACCCTCAACAGAGGAAAGGTACTTAGACCTTTATACCAAGGAAGGTTGCTTTCATGGAGAAAGAAGGCAACTCCTAGCAGCCTTAGTCAGTAAGCCCAGTGATGAAGGGTGCTGGGAGTTCAGGTTTGATGACATAGCATGGATGTTTGTTTGGTTTGGTCTAGTCTTTGCTAACCAGTTGTTATTTGTTCTCCAAGATCTAAATAGATGAGAGTAGCCATTTAGCATCTTTCACATTCACCACGGCACTCTGTAAAGAATGATTCCCTCCATGTTTGGCCTTTAGTGTGATGTGGCAGGATGGGTACATAGAAACAGAAATGAATGGCAACCTGGGCTTCACAAAAACACTTAATAATGCACTCCACAAGTGTGGACTGAGCACATGCTGGAATACTGACTCTTACCGCCTGGACATCTAAGCAAGAGGAAGAGAAATGCCTTCCCCCAAGAAACTATAGGACGCTAAACCCAGATATGGGGGTCCTACTGATCTTGCCCCCCCACTGCTCAGGAATGCTGTTTGTCTTGCTTCTTATCTGCTCAGTGGTTACCTAATTTAGATAATGCCCCTTCCCAGCCTAGAATGAATTATAAAGTTCACATCTCTACTCTTAATGCAATCCTTAGGAGGAAAACACATAATCTTTTTTACTATTAGAAGTGCGATGTCTATTCTTGATCTTATTCTCAGCTCTCGGGGCACTTATACTGAAGTAAGGATGGAAGCTTCCCTGAGATAGAAGCAAATGAAGCATAGAGACATGAGCACAGGGATGAGAGATACTGAAATGGGAATCTGGCATAATAAAAATATCTGTCTTTTTGGAGGGGCGGGGGGCTTGGAAGAAACGAGAACCGAAATTTCATTTGCTGCCAGCGATCCACATTTATTTTCCCCTGAGGTTAAGGTCTTTGTTTGCCCGGTATCATATTCTAGATTGTGTCTCTGATAAACCTTGGCTGCAATCAAGACTAATTCACAAGGGCTCAGGACTACTGTGGAACAAGATTCAAACAGCCAGGCTTAGTGCAAGGCTTGAAATGATGTTCCAGTGATTCCCCTTCCTTCCTCTCTCTCCCCCTACCCAAGAAAAAATGCTGCAGTTAAATAGAGTATGCCTTCCTTGTTATTTAAGTCCCCCAAAGCTGCTCATTCTTCTATTTCCTTCTGTTTGTGGTATACTAGCAAACAGATGCTCTTTTGTATAACCAAAGAGGAGGAAAAGAAGCAAAAGGAGTAGGAAAGAGATCATGATGATGTCCCCAGAAAAGACTGTCTGAATCTTCAATCTGAGCAATTTTTACCTTCTTCAGAGTAGGTGTATAGGTCTACATCTCCCTCATTCTTTGGCATAACTCTCCTTCAAAAATGGAAGAGGATCCAACTTTGCCAAGATATTGAGATATTTTATTTTTCCATATTCAAATAGTGTGCTAGTATATCTACTGCTAATACACTGTGGGTGTATGTTTTCATATATGATAGTTATGCAGTTGCCTTTGCCAAGCTGCTAACATTTAAATGTGTTGAGCTCTAATTCTAAACATTTCCAGCCAGCATACTTGGTGGTTAATGTCCCTCTCCAACTTTATAGTCATTGTGTGCTCTTAAGATGTTGTGCATGGTACAGATTTAATAGATTTATCAGGTATTTACTTCATTCTGAACAACAGAGTAGAAAAATAGACAATAAACTGCAGGATAGTAGCAACATTATACACTCTTCATAGATCACATTCTGTGAGACTGAGGTAACAGCAGTATATTCCTTCTGTTCATCTGCAGCACTAATTTAGGATTTCAGTAAAGTCATGTGCTGCTCAAATGTTGCAGTGAACAACTACTTGTTGCCTCAGACATTTAAAACTAATTCCTTTTAAACAGGTGCTGGGTTTATGCACTTCGGTGTATCATTTGTGTTCCTCGTTCACACTGAGGAATATCAGTCCCCTATATTCCCTGTATAACTAATGTATCAAACAACAGCTGGTCAATTTCACCTAAGATTTATGGATGAAAACCAAGCAAAACCAAGTGCTGAGTCATATTCCGTGCCAGAACCCAGGAGAATTTCTGCATAGATGTTACTTAAGGACATGCAATAGTATTGTAGCTAAGAAATCAATTCAGATGTTTTTCTATCTTGTCAATCTTCTGTATTAGTATTATTCTTTATTCTGAAAAATTTTCATATGGTGCAAAGTAATCTTCCTTATTTCATTGCATGCATTTCTAAGGGTTCAAGATGGTATAGAAGTAGGGAGAGGGAGAGGGAGAGGGGGGAGGGGAAGAAGGAAAGGGAGAGGGTGAGGGAGAGGGAGGGAGGAAGGGGGAGAGAGAGAGATTGATATGATATGACTTAGTAAGTGTCATAGCTGACAGAAATTTTGAATCCAAATCAGGTCAGAACATAATAACCTAAATTATTATATTATATTCTCCTACTAGCATCTTATATGTATATTACATATCCATTCATGTCTGATATAATCAAAGAAAATACTCCTACATATATTAAAATTGCTTCTAGAATATTCATATTTATCTTCATTTAATCACAAATGTTGTTTTCATTTCTTTTATTAATTGTACGAATTACAGAATTTCCCACAAATCTACCTGAATATAAAACACTTAAGTAAATTGTACTGTTATTTGAATTTCAGCATATTTTCATGGAATAGTTAGGCGATCTTGATGAGTACATGATATCACTTATGGGTGTTTAAATCTTGCTGATTTTGTTTCAAACTTTCTTTTGTATTATCTTTAGGGTCTCATGATTCATTTAGCTTCTATATTGATGAGGCCTCTCCAGTGGGACCTGAGCAGCCAGAAACTGTCCAGAATTTTGTCTCTGTGTTTGGAACTGTGGCTAAAAAGCTGATGAGGAAATGGCTTGCAACACAGACAATGAATTTTACAAGCCAGCTTGGAGCAGGGATACGGTATTTTGACCTTCGGATTTCCACAAAGCCTAGAGACCCTGATAATGAACTCTACTTTGCTCATGGTTTATTCAGTGCCAAAGTCAATGAGGGCCTGGTGGAGATCAGTGCCTTTCTCACTGACCATCTTAAAGAAGTGGTCTTGTTGGACTTCAACCATTTCTACGGGATGCAGAAATGCCACCATGAAAAACTGGTTCAAATGCTCAGAGACACTTTTGGGAGTAAAATGTGCCCGCCCATCTTTGCCCATGAAGTCTGTCTCCAGTACCTGTGGGAGAAGGATTATCAAGTTTTGGTGTTTTATCACAGTCCAGTGGCTTTAGAGGTCCCATTTCTATGGCCAGGACAAATGATGCCAGCTCCTTGGGCAAATACCACAGATCCAGAAAAATTGATCCAGTTTCTCCAGGCATCAATCATTGATCGAAGGAAGAAGGGGTCTTTTTTTATATCTCAGGTGGTGTTGACTCCAAAGGCTAGCACTGTGGTCAAGGGGGTCACTAGTGGTCTTAGAGAAACAATCACAGAAAGGTGAGTACCTGCCCAAATACTGAGATAGTCTCAGATTGATGGCAGTTTGTCTTTTACTTCTGTTAGTTCCTATTAGTAAAGGCAGAGAACCCTTTCCCCATAACTATTATTAATAATTGCAAAATGCTAAGATATTCACACAGAAATCCTGCACTCATCTTAACAAAAGAACAATACTTAAGTCCCTTCCATCTCTGAATCTATTAACAATGAGTAGAAGAAGGAACACATTGCCAAGTTCTTATTATTTCCATGTTATATCTCAAAGGAAGTATTAGAACTATGCCCTATGAAAGCTGCCACCAACTGAACGTTGGCCTCACATGACTGTGATGCTACAAAGTTGAACCAGCTAATTAATGGCTCAACTTCTGTTCCAGAAAAAACATTGGAAAAAGACTTTGCACATTTCTTATGGAAATGTATGGAGAATTGGTTTCCATTGGTGGGAATTCTCACCTTCTTTCTCCCTTAATTTTCTCCTTCTTCTTTCCTATCCTCTTAATTTGTTCCAAGGATGCCTTTAATGGTTCCACTAAATAGTTGACTCACTTTTTTCCTTGACAGAAAAATAAATTTGGAAAGGAAAGATGAGAGAAGGATCTTCTATCTTTAGCCAAGTTCCATGATCTTTCAGAGTAAATAAGAGAAAGGAAGAGATTGGATAACCATTTGTCTGAAGTGGTATAGGGTGTTCCTGCCTGAGCAGGGGTTGGATTAGAAGACCTCCCTTCCAACTCTGTTTTTCTGTTCTGATCGGAATTGGATATTGCATAATGAACAACACCATGTTTGCGTATCCCCAGACCACACTGAATGTGTATGAATATTATATATGTTTGCCATTGCAATCTGCCAGAATATTAATTATGACCATACATTTAAATTTTCTGTCATCTGTATAGTTAGACAATATCAAGTTTTAGTAAACTGAGTAAAATGTATTTACATTTAGAATTGGATTGGAAGAAACTGGATAGATAATTTCTGTTTCTCAGAGGCTTAAGAAGATTCCACTTTATGGAGGAGAATTAGGAGGATCAATTGCAATAAAAGCAGAGGTCATATCACTTCAGTCATGGATTCTTTCTACATGAGGAATTATGGAGTCTTGCAAACTTTAGGATAGTGAAGGTACTAAGATTTCTGTTAGTATGCTGGTCCATAAGAGAGAAATATAGCTTTCAAAATTCCTTGAGGAAAACAATGGTTTGTATACTCATTTTAATACAGCTTGGCAGTCCTGTGGTTGTATATGAATCACAAGAAAACCTTTGATCTGTTCAGTAGTAATTGTTATATCAAGTGTGTGCCTTCTTAGTACATGTGTGCTTACCAAATACAATGAATAATATCGCTCAGTCCTTATTATTATATGTACTCTAGTTTTTTACATTTATTTTTTGAAATGATACTAGGTTTTTGTGGAATTTAGACCAGTTCACTAAGAGGAAGGATGCGTGACAGGAAAGTTGTATGAGGGACTGTGAACTTCATAACTATTGCTGACAGCATATAATACTAAGCCAAGATTTGTTTATTCATGCTTTGTTGTATAAGCCATAATGGTCAAGTTCCCAGATAATGTTAAGTCATAATATAAGAGTTTACAATCATTAATTATATATGGCTTAGCATTAAATGTAAATTGGCCTCATAGGTGAACTAACACGTTCTCATTCTTAAAACACAGCCATTGTGCTTAAAATCACACAGACTTCAATGTGTCGGTTCTTTGGAAAGATTTGGAAGTCTTGCCTAATGGTCCTCACTAACCAGAAAATTAACCTGGAACCTAGAATTCACTACAGTCATGGCATAGAAATCTTAGTAATAAAACAAACTGATCAACTGTCCAATAGTTTCTTTTACTGAGTAATAATCTACTGAAGTTGCCATTATGCAAGTGGATGAAGGCAGATTGCTTCTATATCTGTTTCTCCCTCTTCTGTTCAACTGTGTCCTCAGTTCTCAGAGGCTGGCTGGACAAGTCCCTGCAGTTTTTTTGGCAAGTTTTTCAGAAGTAATTTGTCAATATTTCCTTCCTATTGCTGAGGAAAAGTGATTAGCTGAAGGTCACCCAGCTGGCTTAGTGCCTAAGACACAACTAGGTCTCCTGGTTTCCAGCCTAATGCCTTAACACTATACTTAACAGGCTCTTGCCTGTATATCTAAATCTCATAAATTAAAATTGTTTCTAAAACACATGAACTAGGGGGGTAGAAAGGTCTGCTCATTTCAGGTAATCTTGAAATATGAAATCCCCATCTGATCAACAGAGGACTTCCCTAGAAACCTTCTCTTGAATGAAATTTAGAATTGGATGTCTCTGCAGAACAAGGTTTAGTGCAATTTTAGAGGGGTTTGGACCCAATTCTGGTAGCTACTTTCTAGATTCTTCCTACTGTTTTAAGCCTTCAGATACAGAAAAAATATTAGGGTAGGGGATAGTCACAGGAAGAAAGTCACTCTTTTAGAGCATTCTTTTTATGCCTACTATCTATTTATTAGATTTTTATTCCATCTTTATTATTTATAAGTAACTCAAGGCAGTGAACATACATAATATTCCTCCTATAACAACAGCCCTGTGAGGTGAGTTGGGCTGAGGGAGAGAGAATGACTGGCCTAAGGTCACCCAACTGCCTTTTATGCCTAAAATGGGACTAGAATTCCTAGTCTCCTGGTTTCTAGGCCAGAACCTTAATCACTGGACCCAAACTGCCTCTCTTTCTTTCCATTCTCTACCTGCTGTTTTTGTTTACTGCTTGAGCTGATTGAAAAACACACCTTTTCTGATATGATAGCTGCTACAATACTAACAAGTTTTATAAAATGTAATATACTACATGTAAGTTGTATGTCCTCCCCATTTTAAAAGGATGCTCTTTTGTATGTGCAAATCTATGCAGATTTAACAATTGCATTAAGATCACATTGTAATGCACCATATCTTTCATACTCCAGTATGTGTATTTAATTGTTGATCTTTTTTTGGGTAGAGACAAGTTACTCTTTTTATTTTTGCATTGTTAATACATTTTTATGTATTGATAGACCCATTACTATGAGTAGCCATATATTTAAATAAATAAATAAATAAATAGAATAACTAGAGATACTTGCAGGTAAATAGGCACAGGAGGTTAGTCTTAATGTAGGAAATCATTAATTCAATAGATGTGATAAAAATACACCAATTTTTTTAAGTGGGCAGTTATTCTAATGGGACTGTATTTGTCCTGAGTAGTTTTCATTGTCCATAAATGCATTAATATTGCATTAATTTGAATTAGGTAACCTGCTGTTCTACCGGAGAGCAGAAATACAGGCAGCCAGTCTTGAGAGCTTTCTCCATAGTCCGGCAGCATAAGCCCATAACAAAGCCTCGTGCGATGCTGCTGTCTGTTGAAGCACAAGCACGGTCCCATCTGCCAGAATGCTGTTTCTGTAATGCAGTTGGAATTAGGAGGGCACAGATCATCTTTTCTTGCTGGAAGAAAAATGGGTGTGCTCTTCTCCCACCTCACCCCTTTGAGAACCATGGCAAATGTACAATGCAGGAACATCACTGTAATCAAGATAAAAGGAAGTGAATTTTCAGCGTACTCCTCTATAATACAGCTCAATGGCCAATACACTGTATCTCCTCTGGACCGATAATGTTCACTTCAGGGTTCTGTTATTGATACCAATCTCAAGGATCTCCTAATTTGAAGGAAGAGTGATATCAAACATATCAGTTGTCATGCACAAACAGGAGGAGTTTCCTCCAAATCTTCCTTTCTCCAAGTCCCCAAAGGTAACCTGGCTTAATACAGATACTCCCCAACTTTTGACCAAAACCGAAGCCAACCTTTCTGTTGTTAAGCAAGGCAAATTTTAAGTGAGTCAAACCCCATTTTGCCATGGTTGTTAAGTGAATCACTTTAGTTGTGTGGTTGTTAAGCGAATTTGACTTTGCTTGTCAGAACGCAACAAGGAAGATTGCAAATGGTAATCACATGACCCTGGGTCAGTGCAGGCATCCTAAATGCATGCCTGTTGCCAAGTGCCTGAATATTGATCACGTGACATAGGGACACTGCAATAGTTGTAAACATGCAAGCTGGTCATAAATCATTTATATATTGTTGAATGGTTACTAAATGAATGGTTGTAAGCCAAGGACTGGGAATGGGACAACTCGCCACAGCCAACTTGCCACAGCCAACTCACTGTGGGACAACTCATGGAGGGACAATTTAATAATTCTATTTACCTATTTAAAATAAATAAAAAAAATATTTTAAGTTTTGACATTCACATTTCATTCTGTCCCTCCTTTTGCATCCTTTATTAATGATTCTATTCCACCATTTCTTTGATATTAGTGTAACTTTTGTCTTGCAACAAATTGTCCTGTGACAAGTTGCCCATGGTGAGAGGTCCTGCAGCAAGTTGGCTGTGGCAAGTTGACTGTGGCAAGTTGACTGTGGCAAATTGTCATGGACCCTCAAGGACTACCTGTATTATATACCTCACAATTGACAAAAAATAACTGGCCGGTTTGAGTCAGATACCTGCATTTTACCTTCCCTTTCTTAATTTCCATAACAAATATGGAGAAATCACAGTCTTAACTGATTTGGTAATGCAATACTCTAAGGTGCTTTGCCTTCCATGAAACCACCTCTCCCAATGGGGAAGCCAGGATTCAAAAATAAGAATATAATTCTTAAAAAAACAGGCCAAATCTCACAACATGTAGACTTTCACAAGACCTCAGTGTTCTTGTCCAATGTCTTTTGAAATATTAGCAAAAACATAAACATTTCAGGCAAGAAAACTCATTTCTAAAATGATTGGTTAGGAGGATCTGATACATGCAGATTTTCAATCCTTGAGCTAATTATGAATTGTATAGGGTTATATAAAAGCTTAGTACAGAATTATTTCAAGAAATAATAAATTATTTGCAGAGTAGGGACAAAAATAAGAAAGACATCTACTAATTATTT